GTGGAGGCTATTCTTGTTCTCCCCATGTTTCTCCAATCCCCAGTTGATGGATCCACAGCTAGGCACAGGAAGCAAGCCAGACTGCTGCACCGCATCTTACTTTCCTGGGTGGCATGGGAACGTGACCAACCTACTGGGCTTGTAGCCTAGGAATCTCGTATCAAGCTATACCCCCTATAGCTGGGTCCCAAATAATCCAAATATGTAGTTTCATCCCCTACTAAACCATGGTTTATGGCAGTTTATGGGGATGTTTAACATTTTGTGGGAAGGGATTAGTCGTGTGTTACTACATATTCTTGCACAAAACTTATTCGGCTTGTTCATGATGCGCTCATTGTTTAGCTCCAATTACTGCTGCAGTTAGTTTCCAATGTGGCAACACATGGGGACATCAATCTTGCTGGAGGAATGCTAATTTTGAAATGCCCTACTATTTTTATAGATCCAGTACTTCATGAAATGTGACTGACCACGTGGCCACTGATTTGATGGCATATAGTACGTGTTGCTATAAGCTTTCCGATCGGAGTCTATTGTCATCCCTCCAACCGTCAATGGTTACATATCATCAAAATCCCATCATCATTCAATCATGAGCCAAATATCTATCATTTTAATTCCAGTATCACTCAATCAACAACCCATTATCTATCATCATACAGTAATCCCATTGTTCTCTACCATGATATTTCCATTATCATTGGAATCATGAGCCCAGTGTCTATCATTGTAATGCCATGCTCATTCAACCATGAGCCCATTATCATCCATTATCTATTAATATAGCTCCGTTTCCATTCAATCATGAGACCATTGTCTATGATTGTAGTTCCAGTATCATTTTAGTATGAGCCGATCATCTATCATTATATACAATCCCTTAAGAAACCTATACCATATTTCCCGTGTCCCCGTGACCTTTTCGTCCAGCATCGTTGTCCCATTCCATGTCTTCTGACCCCACGGCGCTTCTGTCGCTCGGTGCGTTCAGGGTATCTGATAGAAGCCGGTCCAACCTGCCGGGGATGCGCTGAACAAATGGAGGGGCCGATTGAACACATACCATTTATAGATATTTATAGTGCGTATATATATATATATATGTATATATATAAATAAATAAATATAAATTAAATATATATATATATATATATGCACCATTTTTTTAAAAGTCTAAAATTGGACATCTACGGATATCTATGATATAAAAATCATTGAAACGGTCTTGCTGTCCAAAGAAAGGTCCTTCCGCCTTCCATCAACTGGTAACTGGTTGATCTGATTGTTTTCCGTTTCAAGACCCCATTTTCGAAGATGGATCGTCGGCCAATGTTCCACTAAGAGTCCTTTCGGTAAGCTCTAGCCATCATAGAAATGTCCGATTCCGATGTTGGTTCGCGAGAGGAAATTCATTTCACCATGTTTCTCTCTGTCTCTCTCTGTATGTATATATATATATATATATTTGACCTCGCTTTTTCATCGAAATCCCACAAAGTTCCAGGAGTTGAAACAATCAAATACCTACCACATCCCCTTGTGGGAACATCTCTGGATATGTTCCATGCTTAGATCAACTGAGCTGGAAGAACAAAGTTGGAGGTGCCAGGTTGGGCTTTATTGGTTGCAGTGAGCTCTTTTCGGTCTTTTCAGTCAGTAGCCATGCTTAGTATCAACTATTCCTCTAAAAAACATGAGAATTGAACTTCAGAATGCAGAATCATAGGACCAAACCATTCATTTGCCATGCCATCAATGGCCATGCGATTGGACCCATATTGATGGGGCAAGTCGCACATCTTCCGGCCATGGACCGAGTAACAAATGGTATGCTGTGGGAGTGCAGGCTCGAAAGCCCAACCTTCGCCGCAGTCGCGGGCGAAGGTAGTTGTGATAGCTCTGGGCTGATTCCGTTTCTAGTTCTCTTTCCACTTCGATGGGCCATGGGATTAACGATTCCTGGTTAGTAACTGGGGATTTGTTACCCTCCAGATCCCCAAAAAATAATCCATTTACTAACTATAGTTAACTAAGTTAACTAACTCCATGGCCCATCGAAGTTTCCTTCACGTGAAACTGAAACGACAAGATCTTGCCTTGTTCAATCCAACTGGGACCATCGCAACACAGGTCGCATAGGTCGCTGGGTCACTGGCACCATAAACCAGCACATGACACGACCAAAAAAGGTGGATCCCAATGTCACGAATATTAACATTCCGCAACACATCCTTGTTGATATTCAAATTCAGCTATAATTATTAATTGTGACATTTGTATAATCAAATCCTCAGTCAAATTTGAAAAAAAAACATATATATTTGGTTTCAACCTTCAATGTTTCGTATGTTTAATAAACAATTATGTTTTTTACTAAAAAAAAACAGGTTGTTCCGAAGAAAAAAACAAACCAACAACACAAAAAAAAAAACACACTCATCACATCAATTAGTTCAAAACCTTGAATTCTTGCCTTTTTCAAAAAAACATCTAAGAACCAGCCATTTTTTCCAACCTCCAGCCCCCCAGAGCCCCAACCATAGCCCTAACGACCAGGTCACCGTCGCAGGATGTTGAGCTCCGCCTTCCGGACCGCGCTCCAGGGCCTGGATGAGCCGCTGACCTCCACCACCAACTTCCGTGCCTGCTCCAAGTCCTTCCTGACCGAAGGGAAGGGGCGAAGGGAGGAAAAGCCGGTGGCCAAGGATGATGAGTTTTGGATGAGTTTTGGATGAGTTTTGGATGAGTTTTGGATGTTTGAAGTGGATGTTTCTTGGGGTTTAACTGGGATGTTGAAGTTGGGGTGTATGGTTTATATTAAGTGAATCCTTATTGGGTTTGGATTGGGGTTCATATTGTCTGGGCCCGTGCCGAGACGTCTCAGCAGCGCGGAATAAATATTGGGGTCTTGTTTAAAGAGTGTTTTTACCCAACATGTTTGAAACGTTTTATGGGTTTATTATTATTGTTTTCTTTTGCCCTTCATCTGATCTGATGAAGGGACATTTTCTGAGCGCAATATAGCGCAATGCCTTCCCACAATGCATGTGAACTACACGCACTCACATGATCTCACATGTACAGATTCATGGGCGAAACCAAAGTGGTTGGTGGTTTCAACCCCTCCGAAAAATATGAGTCACTTGGGATGATTATTCCCAACATATGGAAAGTCATAATCCATTCATGTTCCAAACCACCAACCAGCAATTTTTTTCATGTGGATTCTGGATGATTCACTATGGCCACTGTTGTTTTCGCCCATGGCGATTCATGTGGACTGCCAGGATCTGCAGAGCCAAACGAAAATGGCGGCCAGGATCCACCGTAAAACATATGGAGAAAACAAAAAGTACATCCATTTGCCACTCTTGTTGTCAAGAATTTATGATAATTTATGACTCTCAGTGTATATCAGTGTCTATCCATTTCAAATCAATTACCATCTGGTTATTTGTTACATAGCCATGGGAAATGGCCCATAGAAATAGATGGTTTACCTATTAAAAATGGTGATTTTCAATGGCTATGTTAAATAACCAGATGGTAACTATCATGGTTTAACTCTCTAACTTTGGGCCTTGCTTCACCAAAACCAAGGTGCTTGAAACCCGACACCTTCAAAGCGATGAGCATGGCCTGGGTCGACCCGTGCCACGAATGGAAAGATCCACCATTTTTAATGGGAACATCGTCTATTTCGACTGGGCCATTTTCAATAGCTATATTAAATTACCGGAGGGTATGGTCAATTATTCAATTATTATTCATCTAATTATTCTATATTATTCTGACCATCCCTATTGAATCTATTTTAACGGTCATTTCAGGATCCTAAATTGGAGGTACTGTACCATACAAGGCCATATTTTGTGGGGATATTCACTTACATAGGCCTTACATAGGCCTTATATATACTAGGTACCTCCAATCTAGGATCCTGAAATGGCCATTGACGATTGAACCTATTGAACTAATTGAACCTATTGAACCAATAAAAACATTGGGGTACCTTTTTCCGGACCATCATCCCACTGGGACGGAACTTTCTTTTCTGAACGCGAATCATGTCTGTTTAAACACCAGCTGCCTCGGCCTCGTCATCTTTTCGGCTTTAAAAACAATGACAGAATCACATCACCCACACAGATGAAGGTAAAAACAATTCAATAGCAATAGTATAGACACATTAAAGTAACACCAACAAGAAATCACATCATATCAAATCATATCAGGATCTACAAGTCACAAACATCCACTTATATAATCTTATATCATATCCCTCCGGTAATTTAACATTAGCGAACTGGAAAATGGCCATAGATTTACCTTATCAATGGTGATTTTCCATGGTTTTTTCTATGATTTTGTATACCAGAGGGTATCTCCAACAGCTCCAAGCTCGCCCAAGGGATCCAAGGGACCGCCAAGACCAGCGCAAAGGCTCCAGGTCCAGCCGCGATCGGCGTGTTGGACGCCGCAGCGTAGCGATCTAAGAGACCGATGGCCGAGAAGAGCTGTTCGTCCTGACTTTCAGCTGGTTGATCTGCAGATGGTTGGAAGATGATGCGGATTTCTGTCTGATTCAAGAATATAAATGTAAATAAATGTATATATGCATATTAGTGTATAATATATATATATATTTATTTATTATTACTATTATCATATTGTTATTATTAAAAAATATATACATACGTACATATGTATTGTGTATGTGTGTAACTACAGTGTAGATACAGAAGTATATAAATGGGGCACAAACAATTCAAAACCACTGCGCGGTCACCCGATGCAAATGGTGACAACAAACTGGAAAAAATAAGAGGTACCTCGGCCCTTTGAAACCAAAGATTAGCCGATATATTACCAAATGGTATTGTTGTGTTTCCTTGTGGATGGTGGTTGCTCTCGGTCGCTCCCTATACAAAAGATGCTACCAAGGTGCCGAACAGTGGCCGAAGAGTAGGGGCCAAATAAAATGAACATGAATATACCGATTGTTGGAAGGGTTGTTTCTACAATCCTTCTATCAGGCCTTGTTGTTACAGCCTTTGAAGTGGAACATGTCCTGGATGTTGGATGCTTCATGCCTCTCATGTCAAGCAACAGCCAAGTCCAAGGTATCGAACGCTTGCACCAACCATTCCTTGGTATCCCGGAGACCAATGATGGTGGCATTGCTAATCTGAGCTGCCCTTAAACATAAAATGCTAGAGCGACAGTCCAGGGGTTTGGTCATGTTGGGGAAACCACACGTAGAATGAAGCACCTGGTTTGGGATGATAGGGCTGGGATGTGCCAGGAATAGGTGTATCTAAGCCCATCAAGAGTGGAGTGTAAATGTTTGCAGCACCGAACTTCGCCCTCTTCCGTTCCATCATTGGTTAGAGGCACGACATGGCTCGACATGGCCAAAAAAATTTTGGTTCCGTCTGGTTCCGTGCTTCAAAGTTGACCTGTTGACCCCATTCCCAGTAGCAAAGCCCATTTCGCTCATCACCAAGAGTCCAAGGCATCCAATCTTCGTGCCGAATCAAGACCTGGATGCATAGTGTTCGACACCGGTCAGTTCTCTCGCCAAATCACAAGTCATATCAGTTCAGGATTTTTGTGACTCCTAAATCCTAGTTATCATTGTTAACAACTATAATTTTATCGTTCTTCTGTGGGTCACTCCCGTTCAATGATTGCCATCAACATCATCAACAAAAACTACTATATACATATCATATCATATCATATCATATCACATCATAATCATAATATATCATATCATATCATATAAGGATACACAAACTATACATATCAAGACCTGGATATCAGGTCGACCAGCCATGGCCCTCTAACGGTCCTTCACCGATGTTCACCGTCGCCGTTCACCTTTGCCGAGTCGCCGTGGCTCAGCGCCTGGTGACTCAGCGTCAGCGGCGAGGAACGGCGATGTAAGGCATGCAGCGAGACGACCTGCGGGCCACGGCCATGCTGCGGGGTGTCCGTGAGAAAAGGTCAAAACGACTGGAGGACCACTGGGGATTTATAGTGATTTAATGGGATATTAATGGGATTTATAGTGATTTAATTGGATTTTATACTGATTTAATGGGATATTAATGGGATTTATAGTGATTTAATGGGATTTTATAGTGATTCAATGGGATATTAATGGGATTTATAGTGATTTAATGGGATATTAATGGGATTCAATGGGATATGAATGGGATTTATAGTGATTTAAAGGGATATTAATGGGATTTATAGTGATTTAATCGGATATTAACGGGATTTATAGTGATTTAATGGGATATTAATAGGATTTATAGTGATTTAATGGGATATTAATGGGATTCAATTGGATATTAATGGGATTTATAGTGATTTAAAGGGATATTAATGGGATTTATAGTGATTTAATGGGATATTAATGGGATTTATAGTGATTTAATGGGATATTAATGGGAATTATAGTGATCTAATGGGATTTTATAGTGATTCAATTGGATATTAATGGGATTTACCCTCTGGTAAACATACAAAAAGCTATTGAACATGGCCCATTGAAATAGTGGATTTACCCATTGAAAATTGTGATTTTCCATAGTTATGTTAGTTTACCAGAGGGTATCCCTGTTTTAGGACACCACCAACTGAACAAATTGACATGGACACATACATTTTGCGAAGGAATAGAGATTTCACCAATGAAGAAAAGGAGTTTCACCAGTGAAGAATGGGAATTTCAGCTGAAAGCATTGGGATTTCACCAATGAAAATAGGGATCCGACATGATTGGAACCATGCCCCACAGCAGGCGCTACTTAGATGGGGCGTTGAGTTAGTTAGTTGTTTAGTATGTGGGGTATGACTGTCGCATAATCCATTGGATAATCCATGGGAAATATAACCCATGATTTGCAATTATTATGGGAATTATTCACCATTTACAATGTAAAACCCGGATACATAAACCCCTAGGCTGTTTAATTGGGTGGTACCATTTATTAAGTATCAAATCATGACTATTCGCGGAGTACCCCCCTAATTAAAAGACTATGGATGACTATGGTTTATTCATCCGGGGTTGACATTAGCCATTCATATCCAGATTACAATTTTCCCATCATGATCCCATCATTTTTTCCCGTGCTGTCACCTTGGACTTTCCATTTCAATCAACTATCATCATCATTCATTATCCTAACATGATCACATATTTTCCCATATTTTCCCATCAAAAATCACGATCATGATGATCATTTGATCATTTTTCATACTTTTCATGGGAAACTCCATGAATTTTCCATCATTTTCCGATTTTTGGGCCATTCCATTCCATTCCAGCCAGCCCAGCCCACCCTCGGCGGGGACTCCGGCGACTGCTGCTGTTCCGCGGCTCGCCGCGGCGCCGACATCGCCACCGGCACGGTTTACCGGGCAGGGCCGGCACGGTTGACCGGGCGCTGGGGGGCGATCGGTCGGAGCGGCTGCGAAACAGGAGAGTTGGGGTTGAAACTATGGAAAATCTATGAAAATCTATGATACCATCTGGTTATTTGTTACATAGCCATGGAAAATCCCTCAGAGCGCGAGCAAACGTGCATACTTTTTATTTTCAAAAAAGAAGCCACTTGCAGCCACTTGCCCCTTGCAGCCACTTGCAGCCACTTGCAGCAAGTGGCAGCCACTTGCAGCCACTTGGCAGACACCTGCTCCAGTGGCTGCAGCAAGTGGCTGCCAAGTGGCCGCCAAGTGGCTGCCAAGTGGCTGCCGAGTGCCATCTTGAAAATTATAGGACCGGATAACCCCACATGTTAGCAACTTCTTCAGACTTAGACGGAGCACAGAAAGCGAGAAGGGAAGAGGAAGTATGAGAGTGATGGAGGGACGATGGTGGTATGTATGTAGGTAGGTAGGTAGGTAGGTAGATAGGTAGGTAGGTAGGTATGTATGTATGTATTTAGGTATCTATGTATGTATGTACGTAGGGTAAGTTGTTTGTGAGTAAGTTGCTTCGCTTTCATCGAGTTCCACCAGGCTCTGATGTTTTTTTCCGACACACTATCAAAACGATGGTGTGCTCACCATACTTCCGCTGACCAAAGTAATGTTCTGCACTCTTTCGAGCGCAGCCGCGCATTTTGTGAACTCTTTCTGCATGCCCTGCGGCTGGTAAACATCGCTGGCACATGATGATGATGATGATGATGATGATGATGATGATGATGATGATGATGGTGATGATGATGATGATGATGTATGATGATGATTAATGTGAGTAGCGGTGAGGTGTGTGCGTGTCGTGGCACATTAATGCACTGGCAGCGCCGTGCCGTGACGGCAGTGTGCGTGAGCTGCGTGGGTTAGTGACGGGCGGTCGGGAGGGATGGCGTGAGGGAGTGGTGAAGTATTAGTGTGTGTTTGTGTGTGTGTAACATCTAAATAGATGTAAAACTTCTCTCTTTTTTCTTCCTTTGTCCTCTCCCTTTCTAACTCTAATTACAATGCAGGGGGCCACCGGGGTCCCGGGGGGGTCGGTGGCCACCGAAGACACCCCCCTGGGACCCGTGTAAACGTACCTGCATTGTTATTTTCGTTGTTTCATATCTAATCTGCATGTTTCAGGATTCAGTTCCTGCCGGATCATATAATGATCCATTCTTGTCTAGTGTGATTTCCATGGTGGCTCCGACATGGTGCCATGGAGCCTTTTAGCAACCCTTGTCATAGTGAGTGTGACGTCTTGAAAATTCTGAATTCACGCATTTTTAACTTGGTAATTCGTTTTTCTGTTACGGTAATTTGCCGCAGCTGGCCTTTCTGTTCTTCATCAAAACCTTTTTTGAGATGTCCTGTGCCTTTCCGCTGTCCTTTATGAACCCATTGGAATGCATCTCATTGAGTGAGCACTTCGACCTCCAGAAACCTCCGTTTTTTGCAACACCTTTGCAGCTACATGACTCATTTCAAGACATTGGTGAAAGGCAGGCACACGTCTTTCAGGTGGGGTCTTTTTCCTTTGGTTGTCTGGTGAGGTGAAACTGTTGTGCTCTAATTCGATGGAACTTGAAAGGCCTTTTATGCCCTTGTGGCTGACTGGAACACGGCCTGTTTGTGGCCCAATCGCACGAACGTAGGTCTAGAACTGGGTCCTGTTTTTAATTAATTGTTGGTTTTTGTCTGGTATCAACTAGTTTCCCCATTGGTCCCTATCTTTCCCGCGTTCCTCTCCGTACTTGTTGTTGGGTTTAGGTGTGTGCGCGGTTTTTGGTCAGGTCTTTTCGCCGTGGTAGGTTGGTTCTGGAGGTCGCGTCTGTCCTCCCCCCCCTGCGTTTTTGGCTGTTTTGGCCCGTCTGCCGTCGTTTGTCCGCTTTTTTCTCCTTTCCGTTTTGCCCCCTTTTCAGGGTTGACCCGTCTCGGCCGGGTGTGTGTGTGTGTAACATCTAAATAGATGTAAAACTTCTCTCTTTTTTCTTCCTTTGTCCTCTCCCTTTCTAACTCTAATTACAATGCAGGGGGCCACCGGGGTCCCGGGGGGGTCGGTGGCCACCGAAGACACCCCCCCGGGACCCGTGTAAACGTACCTGCATAAATCTAACGATCTAGGCTGGTTTGCATGTTTCAGGATTCAGTTCCTGCCGGATCATATAATGATCCATTCTTGTCTAGTGTGTGTATGGGTGGCGGGTGAGCGGGTGAGTGAGTTGTGAGTGAGTGAGTGAGTGTGTGAGTGTGTGTGTGTGAGTGGGGAGTGATGATGATGGAGTGAGTGCAGTGCAGGAGTGATTTCAGCGAATGAGTCAGTGATTCAAAATGTGAAAGTGAAAAAGTCAATGAGTGAGTGTGAATGAGTATGAGCACGTGTCCCACGCCTGCCACGCAAAAGCCACGCCGCAGTCCATTGTGCCACCCTGCCAGCAAAAAGAGGACCCCAGGGACGCCATGGTACCTCCGACCCTTGGCAGTGCACATTGTGCCACGCCTGCCACGCAAAAGAGGCGGAGACCCAAGGGACGCCAGGGCGTACATCCGACCCCTTGGCAATGCACATTGTCCCACGCCTGCCACGCAAAAGAGACGGAGACCCAAGGAACGCCAGGGCGTACATCCGACCCCTTGGCAATGCACATTGTCCCACGCCTGCCACGCAAAAGAGGCGGAGACCCAAGGGACGCCAGGGCGTACATCCGACCCCTTGGCAATGCACATTGTCCCAAGTCTGCCACGCAAAAGAGGCGGAGACCCAAGGGACGCCCACGGGCGTGCATCCGAGCCCTTGGCAAATGGACATTTGTCCCACGCCTGCCACGCAAAAGAGGCCGGGGACCCAGGGACGCCAGGGGCGTACATCCGACCCCGTGGCAGTGAACATGGCGCCACGCATGCCACGCAAAAGTGGCGGAGAAGTAAGGGAAGGCCCAGGGCGTACATCCGACCCCTTGGCAGCGCACATTGTGCCACGCCTTCCACGCAAAAGAGGCGGAGACCCAAGGGACGCCAGGGCGTACATCCGACCCCTTGGCAGTGCACATTGGCCACGCCTGC